CGGGAGGGTCGGGCCGGGACGCCGTGGGGGGGGGGGGGGGGTTTGGACCCCCCTATCCCACCCCTTATCTACGCCCCTGTATACACACTGCAGCATTTTAGAATATGTGAAAGTTCTCTTAGCCCTCATTCACATCTAAGTATTTTGTCACCTGTTTCCCAAAGCGTAACAACGCTGAACTTGAAAAGTCCCATTATTTCAATGGTGTCTGTTGTGACCTAAGTGTTAAGCAGACATCCCAACCAGCAAAAACTCATTTTAGGGAGGTGCCCTCTCCATCCACATGATGGCAGATAGCAGGGGAATCACAAGATAGCAGAGGAGCTAATGCTTCCCTTGCTATTCGCTGTTGTTTTTCTATTCTGACAGCGGACGGAAGTTTTCCCTTAGTTCCTTCTCTGTTGATTGGCAGTGGCAGTGCGCGGATGCAATAGCCAGCCTGCTATTGGCTATTGCAATTTGAAATGGCCAATAGCAGCCCAGCTATTCATTCCCCTGCTAATTGTTGTTTGTTCTTTTTTTATTCTGATGGCTGTCGGCGGTCATTGTCAGAATACAAAAAAAAAAGATAGCAGGGGATCCTGGAAAGGTTTACTCTGCTATATGGAGCAGAGTAAAACTTTCCAGGATAAAATGTTTTTCAGGGAGCCGCCATCGTATAGCGGGAGACACTTGGAACGTCTGGCTGGGATGTTGGGTCACCTATCACTTGTAGCTTGAAGTTGGAAAACATACAGGAGCTTCTTTTCTAGCAGGACCACACCTTTTTGGCCCCAAAGCCTTCAGCTGGGTCACCTAAAAAACATGCATTATATGTTTTTTTTTGCATAGTTTTGAGTTGCCTAAGGGTTCATTCAGACAGGCGTGCACGTCCGTAGAGCATGTACATCCGTAAAATGACCCAATTCTGGAAGGAACAGGTGCTGTGTGTACATGCGAGCAGCAGCTGGTTCTTCCTTATAGGAGGACGTGGCTGCAGGCAGATATACACTGAGTGGGCAGATTATTATCACAACCCCATCAGTACTTTGTTGGGCCACGAGATGACTCCACGAGATGAGTTCGTTGGGCCGCCTCGTGACTCCACGAGATGTTGAAAGGTGATGCGAGGAATCTGAAACTGCACTGTTGCCCTTCTGTTGTCTTGTACCAGTCTTGCCACTCTCCGTTCTGCCCTAACATTGACTAGTCGCTGACGGCCACAATTCGCACATTCAGACCCAGATTTTCGGCTGACAGTCCAGTCTTTAAACACTTTAACAACAGCTGCTCTTGAACATTTTTACGAATTCTGCTATTTTGCTGATACTCGCTCCATGGCTCCGAGCGCCAACAATCATCCCACGTTCAAAGGCTGTTAAATTGCGTTGCTTACCCATTTCTTCGGAAAAAAATCACTTCTACTGTCGTGGTAAACAACCTGCTTCCCTATTTATAATGGTCTGGCCCTCTAGCAACTTCAGCGCGGAATTATAGCTAATTTGCCTACAAACATCAGGTGGTCATAATAATCTGGTCACTCAGTGTACGTGATCACATGCACACCCACTGCCTGCCTGTCCCTTTTGGGAATGGGTGGGGGACTTTATAAAACAATCTGACATTCACCAAACTTTCACTGAAGGTAAATATTCCATGTGCATGTTGGTTAAGTGACAGTAATTCATTCACCAGGGATTGTTGGGTGAAAGTCACATTTACTTCAATATAGTGTCACTGGATGATAAGAAAAAAAACCAATAGGGTTTTTTAGCACTGACATAGCATAGAATTGCCCGGTCCTGTTTTGCATTTGAACATCCCCCCCACCGCATCTTGTGTGGCTGTTCAGTTTGTATGGGGTCATGGTCATTACAACCGTAATTCATTAAATCTTGAGGAAAATCAGCAGGCACTGTCCGTAAGGCTAAGGGATGGGGTTTGTGTCAGAATTGTCTTTCCCTGACAGCTCCATGGTAGCACACAAATGGTAGGGAGGCGGGGCCATCCCATTTTGTGCTGCCACGGAGCTAGTCAGGAAAGGAAAATTGCGGTAAGTATGAAATACAATTTTCCTGTTTTTGTCCCCTATTGGCCAGCTTAATACAGACCTCACCACCTACCTTCATTTTTTGGGATGGTGTGTGCCCCTTTACCTAAGCAGGAGTTCCTGAGAACATGTAAAAGTCCACATTATCTCTGAACAGACTTAGCAACTAGAGCAAAATGTGTATAGTATAATTATTCACACATAGTAATGCACACTTTCTATTGCAGGTTTTTTTTTTCGTTTTTATTTGAATACTAGCAAATGTTTGACCATTTATGACTGCAAGATGTTGAGGGTTGGCGGATGCATCAGATCTGGAGAGGATTGTAGAAGCCAAGACATGTAGTGGAGATGGAGGGGACCAAGGATGGTGGATGCATGTATTGCAGGTAGGGGGATCGGGGGAAAGGACTCTAGATGCATACCCACATAGCAAGTTTAACTTGCCACAAACTTGTGGCTGGGATAAATTGTAATTCTTAATTCTTGTTAACTTGCTGAACACATTCCTGGCAAGTTATTATTATTATTATTATACAGGATTTATATAGCGCCAACAGTTTGCACAGCGCTTTACAATATAGGGAAGACGTTGCAATCACAATACAAATCAAGACAAGATGGTAAGGAGGGCCCTGCCCGTGAGGGCTTACAATCTAAAAGGGAGGGGGAAGTGATACATGAGGAGGGAGTTGTGTGGGAATGACTTGTTTGAGAACGTGATGGTTGAGCGGTTAGGTTGAGGTGGGATAGGCTTCCCTGAAGAGATGAGTCTTTAGGGAATGCCTAAAGGCAGTCAAGGTGGACGACAGACGGACAGGTTGGGGTAATCTCTGCGCAGGGTGAGGCTGAGAGTGGTATCGCCACGTCATTGTGACACTCACGCTCGGTTCAGACTTGTGTATGGTCACGTGGGATTGACGTACAGCGGGTTCGGACCGGGCGTACATGACATATTGGTTGAAGACTTGCAGAACACTTGCAGCACAAGTTCTAGTTGACAATTTTTGAATTTGTAGCAAATTTGCTTGGCAAGTCTACAGCAAGAGTCTTGCAGGTCTTAGCAAGAGCTCTGCAAGTGTAGAACAAGAGCTCTGCAAAGCACATTGATCTGGAGACTTGCAATCAGTGGCGTCACAAGGGGGGTGCGGCCCGCACC